TCTATTCCTAAACTCACAGGGGTGTGAGGTATGTATGTATAAGTAGAACTAAATCTATTTCTATTCCTAAACTCACAGGGGTGTGGGGGTATGTATGTATAAGTAGAACTAAATCTATTCCTAAAACTATTTCTATTGGTATGCATTTATATTCGAATAGATACTAGTCTGTTGAAGGCCCATTTATAATATAAGTCGAATTAGGCAACTCATGCGCTCCGAAGGGGTGCCGACGAACGAGTAGCCGCTCCGCTCAATATATTAATGGTGTTACGAAGTTTTTCTAGTCTTTTTGTGGTGAAGACGATTTCATTGCTCTATTGATAGATGTTAAACTTCATTTATATGACAAATACGTATACGTTGTTCTATAAATGACACTAGTAGTACCCGTCTTTAAGCACATTATTTAAGATGTTCGTTTAATGTTCACTATTCAGTCGAGGGTCAAGCGAGGCGCCCTCGTCGAGCGTTACTTGTCTATATATATAAAGAAGAAAGTTTGTCTGTTTGTCTGTTCGCTATGCATTCATTCCCTATAATAGCTACGATCACCAAACTTTCCACGATGCTTCCCCAGACCACAAAGAATGCCGATATGTACTTTTCCCCCAAAAAGGTGGGTCCTGCGTCTGCTAAGAGCAGTCTATGAAACTGACCAATAAAATTGTAGGATTTCAGAAATTTCAGCGGGTCAGTAGCGAAGGCGGCCAAAGGCCGTCTGAGCGCTCATAAACGACAATTCAGATGTTCCCTACGGCTATAATAGTTCTGTACATGCTACAGGCAACCTACGAAGCTGACCAATAGAATTGGAGGATTTCAAAAATTGCAGCGGGTCATTAGCGAAGGCGGCCAAAGACCGTCTGAGCGCTCATAGACAACGATCTACGTGTTCTCTACGCCTGTAATAATTCTATGCATGCTACAGACAACCTATGAAACTGACGAATAGCATTATATGGTTACAAAATATTAAGATAAATCCTGAGGGTGAATGCAAAGGATATAAGGTATGAAATGACGTGAGTGTGGGAATGAGGTCGATAAGTGAACAACTGGAATGTAGAATGAATATTAGAAAAAGAGGCTATTTTAATATTTTCTGCAGCAGAAATTAGCTTCTGTAACTCTTTTGCATAAAAAGACATAGTCAAAACTGCCATTTTATGCGATGCACGGGGAGAAAAATAAGGACTGCAAGCGTAGAAATTTGAATTATACTGATTTTTTATCTGCTTCAGCGTTTCAAGACGTGAGATGTTCGACATAAATATTTCTTATTTACCACCGGGTTCCTCCGCTTTAAATATATAAAGGAGAAAGTTTGTCTGCCTGTCTGTTCGCTACGTATTTAATACCTCTAACAGCTAACGACACCAAACTTTCCATGATGTTTTCAAAAGTTCAAACAAAGCTTAGGATACAGTTAGAATCACAAAAAAACGATCAGAGGACATATGTGGATGAAGTTTTATCCAAGTCATATTAAATGGAAAATTTTAAATATTCAAAAATCACTATAGTTTTGGTTTTATTCATTGAATTATCTTCCCTAAGGATGACGATGGAAGTAAGAGGTTTTTCAATCTTCTGTATATGTAAAAAGGGTGAGGGTGTGATGGAACGGGTAAATCGTGATTAGAGAGGCATCTTTTAATGATCACTCCCGTAGAACAAAATTCAAAAACCTAATCCGGTAGTACTTTACTTCTTTTGAAATATTCACGCCTACATCTCTTATCGTCTGAGGAGGTGGAGAATCTCAAATTATTACCAGTTTTCGCGAACATCTCTTTGTTAATACTTCAGACTATGTTAGCACTCATTCATCTAGTTTGGTCTTAGTGGAAACTGTCGTCCCATATCGTACTTCAGATATTTATTTCTCTATCAAAATTTCCAAAATCTATTATAATCCAAAGCATTCCATAGTACTTGTCTATCTATATCTTCTAAATCATGCAGATATCCAGATATCAGATATTTACTTTTGTATGGAAATTTCAAATTTTTATTCTCTTGTAAAGAGTTCGCTAGTAATTGTCTACCTATGTGCTTCTAAATCATGCAGACATGCAGACATCAGATATCTACTTCTGTGTTGAAAAATTCCAATTTTTGTTATTCTGCAAGCGCTTCGACAGTAATTGTCTATCTACGTGCTTCTGAATCGGACAGATATCCAGATATCAGACATTTACTTTTGTATGGAAATTTCAAATTTTTATTCTCTTGTAAAGAGTTCGCTAGTAATTGTCTATGTAGATGTCTGAAACCTGGGCAAATATCAGATATTTACTTTTCGCTGAATGTGCCTAAGGGAGAACGACTGGTGAGGGATATCATAGGTAATGTCATACATTATACGATGTATATTATCCATTGAAATATGATTTGCAAACTCGTCAGTTCAAAATTTTCGGTGAAAAGTAAATATCTGATATCTGCTGAGTTTCTGTCTTTTTCTAGGCATGAATGACAGACTATCATTGATTTCTTTATTATCAGTTGGAATTTGAAATTTTCTCACACAAGTAAATATCTGATATCTGATACTTTGAATGAGTATAACTAAACCAGTCATAGTTTTCAAACGATATCGGAAATTTTAGAACATCTCACTTCAAATAAATAACCTGAGACAATATGAATTTTTTTAAATTTTCATGGCTCCTGAGTATGAAAATTTTAGAACGTTATTTTTGAAAACTGGTAATAATTTGAGATTTTCCACCCCATGCCCATCGTTGATCGCACAAACATCACAACTAGGAGAAAAACCTCGACGCAGATGTGTAGTGTACTCATCTCATAGTATTCGACGCGATACACAATACAGTAAAACCAGTCTTAGGGAACACCCCCCCCCCCTTTGTGATCAACCTGTTATAATGAACACTTCCCAGTCCCACCGAGCAAATTTTGCTGGTTTTGGTCCCCTCTTTACTGATCACCTCGTGATTCTGAATTGTGAACGCTTTTTCTTGGTCCCAACTGCATTTTTAACCTCTTTAATATGAACACTCGTGTGTCGCGTCATCTATCGACAGGCATTTTCTCCTATCTCACTGGCCTTTTATGGCATCGTGATCAATAGAGAAATAGCTGGAGAGTTGAAAGAATGAATTTTCTCGTCTGTCATCTCTCTTCTCCGAAGTATTTATTCATTACATTTTCACTAGACTGAAAAGAATATAGCTGACCCCTAATTTATATAAAATAGACGACTAAAATTCGAATAAACTAATAATATTGCGTTATGTTTGTCGTCTTTTTTGTTTGGCATCTTACTGAACTCATCATGCCACTATAATGTCATCTCCGAAGAAAAACGAAACTTTATCAAAGATGTCAACATACTAATTCCTCACATCGAATGTTTACCGATATGTTGCCATTTCTCTTGATGTATAAGTGTATGCAGCGTTCTCAATTGAAACTATGGGTATACCAATCGATATCTTCGAATAATGTTCGTAGCTAGTACTCACTGGATTCGGCGTGGATTTCTGAAAACTCAAAGCGACTACTTTTTTTCACGGGAATAAATAAAATAACTGAAACTAACAAAGTCATAATCGTACTATTGAAAATAGAAGAGTTGATTTCGCAACTTTAAAGTTCCTTTGCATTTTGCATGACACCCCTCCTAAATGATTACGTTGCTACTGTGAACGACTTTGAAAAGTCCCACGGATGTTCACCGTATAGGGGTTTTACTGTATATGTGTTCCGACTGCGATGCACCTCTGTGTCTGGCTGACTGTTTCAAAAACTATCATACAAAGATGAACTGTTAACGTTTTTTAGCAGGAATGTAGTTTTTTGTCAAAAAATAAAAGGCACATTCGAATATTACCGTTAAAATATTTGATTATCGCTAAAACCGCCTGTAGCCAAAGGGTTAAATACTTCTTTTTAAATACTTTTATGTTAGAGTGAATGCTAAATACTAAATGCTATAAAATAATACTCTCCGTAATCTATACACAGTTGTACATGCACATTATTAGTTTCCTTCAGCATCTTACATTTCCGAAGGAAATTATCAAACCTGACCGCTATCTTCCAAGTATAACAACAATCAATGATATTTTTCCTTTTTAATTTATTTTTATATCATCCAGCAAATTATTATAAAAGAACAAAGTTTCTCCGCACTTTACTGCTTCTTAATACAGACACTTCCTTTACGATGTTCTCTCTCACACACTACTATACGTAATACACTAAATTTTCATTACAGAGCACATGAATGCCAATACCAGTTATGAACTGTTTTGCTATTCATCGTTTACATATACAGATAAATTCATTCACAGAAGTAAATCCATCACAAATAAAATGAACATTTCCTACCAACCATTCATTCTTATTTTACTCCACTACCTTTTCCACATATATTGAATCCAAACAACCATCAAACCCACGCGCCTCCTAAACATGTTCATCACCGGTTCATTCGTTTACGACACATGACCTCCTCAGTTACTAATTCTCTATTTCAAAATCTTTCCTTTATAATATGTGTAGTCCTCCACGACATACATTTTCACCAAAACCGTCATTAAGCCCAACCTCTTCCGTATTCCTTCTTCACCGATGCAACCGTCATATGCGCACACTTCAATCAAATCTTCGTTCAATTACGCTCTATTCATCATGTGACCTCCAATCACAAACAAATTCAACACAACTTCCCAGTAAAAGAATAAAGTACATAATGAGCCACTCCAACAACGTATCTCATCAGTGTCAACATCAACTACTTTCTCACTTCAATCATGATCATCTATTTCAGAACTCATCGCACGATCATTTCATTCGATTATGATTTGTGTTGTTGGTCAACATCAACTACTTTCTCATTTCAATCATGATCATCTCATTTCAGAACTCATCTCATCATCATTTCATTCGATTATGATTTTGTGTTTTTGTATGAGAATGTTTGGACTCGTGTGTACATTGGATAACCGGATATACAAATAAATGGATCAAGCGGTTGTCCATAAGTAATGCGGCGGGTTTGCGTGATTTTTGGGGTATCTGGGTATATTTGAGAAAGTAGGCTTTGGATGGGTTGTATAGGCATCTTTAGATTTCGTTGCGGTTGAGTTGATTTGGAGGTGGCTGCGGTCGTTAGCTGAAAAAAAAGAAATATTTTTTGCTAGATAATTGGTTTCATCGGTATCCTTGTAGTTTGGGGTATGGTTGGAGTGGCGTAAAGGGTGGAGGGAGCGGTGTAGTAGGTTCAGGTGAAGATGGATTATGGTAATGAAAACGAATAATACTAGAGGAAATGATGTGGAACGTGGTGGTGCGGAAGGTTTGAAGTTTTGCATTGAAAAGAGTATGATGACGAGAAATTTAAATGAGTGAGAGAAGCATGTAAACATAATGTGGAGGGATGTTAGGAATATTTGAGGGAAAGAGGAAGGTTCTGGTATTGCTTGTTTAATGTGAATGACAACAGTCAAAGTTAATAGTAGGACACACATCGTTTTTGGTAGGAGGATAGGTGGTGTAACTATTCTGAACTTCGAACAGAACACTTTTGCTGGCGATGTAAGGTGGTAGAGGATGCTGTGAAATCTGGTCTGTAGTGAATATTGATGGAATCTGAGCATGTTCTATTAAAAATATCTACGTATTATGCTGTTAGCCTAAGATTCACGTGTTCATTCACGTTTGTGCTCGGTTGGTTCTCTGACTTTTTGGCATTGTAATAAACTATCAATCATGATTTTTGTTTTGTCGAATGAGTATCGCAGTCAGTACAGAATATGAAACGTGTGGCTCACGTATTGGCTAGGCAAGTAGGGCTTAAAGAGGTTTTGTGGAATTTTAGATGTTTGGTATATTACAGAAGTTAGAAACAGTTTCGCGATAGAACACTGCAGTAGCTGTTTGAATTCAGTTATATGTAAATTATGAATTTAGTCAGTGTATTGAAATCTAGAGCAGCAGGAATATTTCCAGTGCTGCGCTGTTACTGTTAGACTTCGATTGACGGTGAACTCTATAGATCATTTCAATACTGTGTTTCTCATCTATAAAGCACATCTACAAACCATACGGTTTTTGAACAGATTCATGATTGTTTTGTATCTGATAGCTTATCAAACTTATATTTAAATGAATAAAGAGTCCAGGTGAAAATGAATGCAGTTTCGAAAACTTTTGAAAGAGCTCAGCACTGAACTGAGAACCTGTTGGAATTTGTTTTCTGCGACCTATTTGCTATGCATAATTCACTTATTTCACCGCCACTTATTCATGTCTGTGGCTCCACGAATGATTTGAAAAGACATCTTACAGATTGTAAAAGTCAGCAAAGATCATTAGATGTGTCGAATTGTCCACTGTCGCCTCTGCTGATATTTTCAGAAGAGATATATTATTGTCTTTTCTACTAAAGTGCCTTATTTTCAGAAAAGAGATGTTTTAATAACTGATCATACTTGAAACTTTTCCTAAAAAACGGTAGTACGACGTGTCTCTCAAAAAGCAAAAAGTTGCAATCTCATCAAATGACTAGTGATTGTGAATAACTGAAAGGATTCATCGGAATTTTATAAAAAAGAAAAGGCGGATATTTCTCTGGAATGGCGCAGTCACTGCGAAAGTTGTACGCTAACTAAGTACCCAGAACATTTGTTGAGAATTTTACAGTAACAGGTTTTGAATCAATGATTATGAATGTAAAGAGTTCTTTAGGTTGGAAAACAAAAAATATTCAGAATAGAGCAAGTTGGTAAGAGAAAACGACGAGATGATGACCTGAACTGAAGACTAATATTATGTAGTTTTAGTGCACAAAACGTCTTGCTGTCAACCAGGGACCAATTATCATCTCCTATAGGATCACCAAAAACGGTGTCTGATAGCTGTGCGAGTCCTGAAAAACACGTAAAAATTCCACACTTTCAAACGAAGCCCATTTTCAGCATGCATGGTCCGAATCAAAATTTTCATGAAAGAAAGTCCTTCATGTGAGAACAAGAACTGGATTTGGGATAGTGTGTGTACATTTTCTGTATGAGTAGATCTCAATCAGTTAATGTTTCATAACTGATACCTGGACTCTTATATATTTATGCAAGATCTTAAATTAATTATCAGTGTATACTTAGATAGGGAAGTCGACTCATCTAGAAAGTTGTGGAGGTCACCTCTACATTAAAGTCTCTGATTTCGAGGTATTATGAAGTATAATCTGAAAGACACTTACAAAGTACTGGGTAAATATTTAACATCCCTCAATACTATCCTCAAGTAGTCGTCCTTGGCAGAGCTTAATGGTGAAAAGTTATTAGATAGAAGTCCTGGCAATATACTGCAGGTCGTTATCTATATGTGAATCAATAATGAACTACTTAATTAACCATCATAGACCGTGCCTAAAGTCTTAGTGCTCGATTAATAATCTATTATATTGAGCATGGCTAGAAGGCATCACAATGCCGTCGTACGCGAATAAGTGGGGAAACTGTGTATATAAATATATGTTATAGAATACTTGGAATCGAATTATGTTCGATATTCTTAGTCACATCGGAAATGAGCTGATAGCATTTTACATAAACTTTCGCGCCAGTAGAAATTGACTGGTCCATCCAATTTAACTCTTCTTAGTAGCGATATGATGTCCATTACTGTAAATACGCACCGAGAAAATACACTCTTTGAAACTATTAGCAGCGTTAGTGAAACACCTTGCATTCTCTCTTAATCTTTGTACAAAGAAGAATATAAGCGTTGGAAAATCTATCATTTCTAATATTTTGTAGTAAAATGTGTCAAAACTTTGAATTAGTACGCGCATTGTAAAACAACCGTGTGGTTTGAAAAATATTCGAGCGCAATTATTATTTATGCAGTAGTTTAAAATTACTATCTGTAAAACACAACTAAGTCGTTTAGACATGGATTTTGAACATGGGAATTCATGTTGAGAGAAAATAAGATTACCTGGGGAAATATCCTGATGAAAACTATTATGAATATCGAAAGAAAGTTTCTTACCAGACCAACGTTGTTTTAATTCCAAATAAATCAAATGTTTCTTTGTCTTCGAATCAAATTCAATATTTAGCACACGAAAACAAACACCCGGTGTAATCAGTTCTTCTTCTTCATCCTCGTATTCTGATACTTTACTAATATCAGCAATGAAAGCAAATTTCACATTCATGATAAATAATGCATTTCCAAATATTTCTGTTTTTTTACGATTACGACTGCATGATGAAAAACCTTGAAACGATCCATATTTATGTTTGGTTTTGACCATCTCTTCATACATAGCAATTTGCTCAGGCTTAAGATTAGCTCCTCGATAGAGTTCGATATTTGTTTTCATTTTGGTGTTGAATGGATCATCCCATAATAATAAACAGAATGGACCTAATGTCGGAACTTTACTTCGCCATATGTGATCATCTTCTTTGCTTCCAACTAATCTCATCGTTGCATTCAAAGTTTTATATAGAAAACTTTCTAACGAATAAAGATAAGCACAACATTGCCATACTTCTTTGATTTTTTTGTTTTTCTTCTCTCGCAGTTGTTTAGCGAGTTCTTCAGCTTCTTTTTGTTTTCCAATATGTGTGCCTTCTTTAATAATACCTTGCGCAGCTTTTTCAACAAGTTCAGGTATCATTTCGGGCTTCTTCGAAGGAAGTTCTTCAGGTTGAAGACTAAGATATTTTCGTACTTCAATGACAAAAGGTGATACAAAACCATATTGACCACCAAATGAACGATCGGAAGCAACTGGAAGATCCATAAATCGTGCTTCTCGTAAGTGCTTATCTTCCCTATTACGTACTACTCTTTTCACAGGTCTCTGTTTGTTACTATCATTAGTCGACACTTGTAACTTATCATCGAAATCGATATAATAACCATCTAAGTGCGCTATTTGCTGCTTATTTGTGAATGCCCTTTCAATTATTAGATTTTCAACATCTGAATAATGACTCCATGTGGCTGGCTGACTTTTTGACCATGGATTTGGATTTGATTGCCACATCCACTCAACCGTTTTTAGTGAGTTTGTTATCCTGGTACTTGCAGAAGCCATTATTTTTCACTTGTATTCTTTTGCTTTAAATATGATAAAATCTTAGCTAGTATTTCTTACTGTGATATCTGAAAGCATGAAATTATCAAAGAAGAGATTTTTTAACCAAGTTCTTTTGTCTTGAGAATTTTAACTACATACTTTTTCACTTGGGTGGTAGGACGGGAGACATGAAAAAAGAGTTTGTCTGTTCGCGACGGATCAGATGTTATACAGGTCACAAAGTATTACAATTCGCGCATGATGAGGGACGGATAGGTCATGAAGTCTTAGGGCAAAGCACTGTATATAAATGCTCCAGAGTTCTAGTGATAAATACGGAGGTACTGTTAGCTGGACTTATATTACCCTTCAGTGCACTGAAAATAAAAAAGGTTTCGTAGACGTCGAATAGCTTCTAAATGTGCAGACATGTTGAAAACCTGGTTTTCAAAGTCTGCGTATCCTAAACAAAGTCTGTCTTCAAATACGATGCGGTTGATAAATTGTCACTTTAAAATCCTCATGTACAGGTCTCAACATCCATATGCATCGCCACTAACACCCTCGCCCTCAAGATGGTTCTAGAACTCATTCCGTCACAACAGAACATCTTTGTCTGTATCAACTATTTGGTCTACAAATGATGTCTTAACTTGTTTAAGGTAATCTGAGTGTGTAACCAGCATTGGAATAATTGATGGCACATTAGTCATATGGTTTCCTTTTCGTCGCTCGCTCCACGTAAAGCACTACATTTTATTTTGTCACCCATTCTCAAGCAATGTAATTCATTTATTTATCACTTCACGCCTTGTTGAAACATTTTTCTTCCAAAAACTTCTCGAAGAAGAAAAGCAGAAAATGTTTTTTTTATCTATCTCGCGATACATGGGCTGCGGAACGCAAAAAGGTAAAAAATATTCTTCCAACATTGATAACATTGTATGACGAGCAGAAGCTAGTTACTTGAGTGTTTACTATCAATTCTTGCTCTTTTCTTTATCTTTCAAGTCGGTAAAAACCAACTATAAACTTCGCGAGTTTATCACCTAAAGATATTGAGGGTGGGATGGGTGAGGGTGAGGTAAAAACTTTTATGAATAGAATCAATAGTGCTCGAGGGTGGGTGAATTGGATCATACTATGATCAGAGTTGAAATGCATAGTCATACGAGATGGTAATAAAAAACATCGAGTTCATAAGCCATGTGCTGACGTATTTAAACTAAACTGTTTGATTATATCACGAAGCTGATTTAATTGAGATTGTGGTTTTTATTGCATTTGCATCAAATGGAAATACATTAATAATGTGTTGAACTATATAATGTGTCATCAAGATTAGATTTTCATATTTAAGTCACACAAAAAATAACCGAATAAACTTTCTTTGTTTCTTATTTATTTTGTTTGAATAAAAAATGTTCTGACGAAAACATTATTGAATGAATATATGCGGGTGTTTATGTATTTGTTTCTCTGAAAGTAATAAAAAGAATAAACGAATATATTCATCTTAATTAAGATATTTTTTATCTTTGTTTTGTTAATATTATTATTTCGGCTATGTTTTCTTTTATGATTTTTTTGCTATGATAACTCCTTCTTTCATCAACAATTAAATGCCAATGGTAGGGAACTGCTCCATTTTGTTCATTTAATGATGAATGTCCCAAGAATTATTTTAAACCTGAAGAAAGTAAAACAAGTGACGGACATTCAGGTTGGATTTCAAGAAAAAACCGTTGCTATTATGCAAATCAAGCACCACCACAATTTCCACATGCATGACATCAAACCAATCAAAATGAAGTTCTTTTTTCTTGACGACAATTTTGTATTTTATTTGAATATTTTCGGTAGAAATAGTTGTGAATTGTTTTATGACAAAATCTTTTTATATTGATGAAAGATTATATTGATTTGATTGCTATGCAGTTATATTTTGGATTGTTCCAATTTATTTGTTGACCTTTATATAGCATTATAGTTGTAGTATTTAATTACAGTTTTAAAAAGATTTCATACTTCTGCTTTTTTTCGAATTAGTATAATTAAGGATTCTTTAATCAGTTTACTATTTTTACGATGATAATCAGTGATGGTTTTCGTTGTTTAAATGGAATTAATTTCATGTACAGAGTCGAAATTAGTAACATTAACTAGCAAAGTACTGAAGTGTAAAACTTCACCTATAGGCTCTATTCATTAAATATTTGTTGTACATCTATATGAATGTGAAAAACTCAAAAGTATCGTACATGTACGGTAGTGAAGCATTGATACAGATAACTTCGGTACAGGGTTGGAAATAATATTTTGCCAGGACGGTATCGCTACTATTTCTAATAGTACACCTAACGAATCTTATACCAAAAGATAGCCCGTCAAAATGGGGTTTGCTGATCATAAAAAAGACGGATTATGCAAACTTTTTTATATCAAAGCATCGAAATTTAGAGAGAACTAACTTATAATAGGTTTGAAAAATGTTACTTATTAGATAAAATTCCAACTAAACTTCATACAAAATTTTTTATTTTTCGATGTTGAATCGATATGTTCTGTCACATTGAGATCAGGTGAGTTTCCCGGCCAAATATCATGATCCCAAAATGTAATATCATTTTCTTGAAGCAAATATTGGGTAGCATCTGCTCGCATGCATGGTGCTTTGTCATGGATAAAAATAGCTTCAGCAGGATCAATAAATTTTTCCTTTTTTTGAAGAATGGAATTACATTTTCAGTCAAAATTTTATCACGAAAATATTGACCGTTCCATAATTAACCTTTATCTTTGATGATCCAGTGCAATTTCTTCACAGTAAATATAACGAAGATTCCAATGCACGCTTGGTTTTTAACTATTTCATGATAGCGTTCGTCTCCTTCAATATCATCGATGCTTTTCGGCCATATGCGATTATTTGATAATTTGGTCGACGAACAATCCAGGCGTAAAATTCACCAGATGGCCCTAGATGAAGAAAATCTTCTTCGTTCCAGTCTTTATTGGTTTTGAAATGGCGTGAAACGGTTTTAAACCTTCTCGATGACGATAACTATTGACTGTCCTCGGCACAACATATTCTTTTCGATACCAACGAACCGCTTTTTCTTTCTCGATCACTGGCTTGCGAAAGTTTTAGTTTAGGACCAGCGTTTGAGTAATCAGCAAAACATTGATCATCATATGGCTTTTGCCACCAATCCGTGATAAATCGAACCGGACGATGAATTTTCTCTGCAATCCAATTTCGATTGATGAATGTTGCACCAGCATCTTGAGCTTGACGAAAAGCGATACATCTAATTCTGTCAATTATTCTTTGCTCTTCGGTATCATAAGTACCAGCCATTCGAAAGAATAATACTTAATTGACTCGCCGAAAAAATAGATTTTCACTTGAAAGGAAAGAAAACCAAAAGACGCTCTTCGTTCGATAAGTTGTTCGTTTTCTTCTTTTTCGTACGCTTGTGAGAGATAAAGACCAAAATTTGTTTATAATCGACACGATCACGAAGAACAAACAACAGAACGCAAGAAAAGAATAGTATCTTTTGTGTCGTGATTAGATCTTACGGTCACTAAGGAATGTAGTTTTCATTTTCCCTAAACAATATTAAATTGTTCAATGTTCAACAATTAGCTTTGAAAATAATGTTACAAAAAACTCTAAATTTCGAGAATTATAATATAAATAACGCTCGTCGAGACGGACTCGCATTACCCTCGGCTGAAAAGATTCATATGCAATAATCAATTTTCTATTGTTTTTTCATTTCATAGAAGAGAAAATGTTTTTCAATGAACAGAGATGGGCAAGTACCGACTTTTTCGAGTACGAGTACAAGTATTTAACCTAGAATACGGGTATTTACCTCGAGTACGAGTACTGAGCTTCGATTGTGAATTCGAGTACTTGCATACGAATATCAGAAACTGAAGTATGATTGTTCTATTACAAGAATATCTACGAAAAATAGTAAATTAAAGAATACCACAAAGAACTTCAGGCACATTTTATTAACAGTTTCAAAAAATGAATTATGATATCAACATTCTGTTACATTTTAAAAGCGATAATAAACATACGTTTTTATCAGTGAATCTTGATCGATGTGGTCGCATTATAAATTCACTTTGAGAGAAAACTCTCTCAATCGATGCTATTGTTGCAGGTATATCCCAGGTCGATCATTCCGGCGGCAAGTAAATGGTCGGAAAACGAACCTAACCGGTCGGAACCGACTGCGCCATAATAACCTGAGATGACTGTCGAAGCGACAATAAAAGAAAACCTAATCGTTCGGTTTGAAAGTTGATCAAAGGCGAAAGGAATAACAGAGACAGCATGGCAACGGCTAGCCGTGAGTGAGTGAATGAAGGGAGGTCGACGAACGACTAGACGATTGTTTTGAAAATTACTTGAAAGATGAGATTTATCACTGTCTCAACGAAAGTCAATGGTTTTTGAACGAACATAATTGATGTGTTTTCGAGCTTCGAGAATAGAGATTCCACATTATCAGCGCTTCAAATTGAACAGAGCAATAGAATATGTACTGTGAATTACACAGTCACGNCAGAAAAGAGATGTTTTAATAACTGATCATACTTGAAACTTTTCCTAAAAAACGGTAGTACGACGTGTCTCTCAAAAAGCAAAAAGTTGCGATCTCATCAAATGACTAGTGATTGTGAACAACTGAAAGGCCTCATCGGAATTTTATAAGAAAAAGGCGGACATTTCTCTGGAATGGCGCAGTCACTGCGAAAGTTGTACGCTAACCAAGTACCCAGAACATTTGTTGAGAATTTTACAGTAACAGGTTTTGAATCAATGATTATGAATGTAAAGACTTCTTTAGGTTGGAAAACGAAAAATATTCAGAATAGAACAAGTTGGTAAGAGAAAACGACGAGATGATGACCTGAACTGAAGACTAATATTATGTAGTTTTAGTACATAAAACGTCTTGCTGTCAACGAGGGACCAATTATCATCTCCTATAGGATCACCGAAAACGGTGTCTGATAGCTGTGCGAGTCCTGGAAAGCACGTAAAAATTTCACACTTTCAAACGAAGCCCATTTTCTGTATGAGCAGATCTCAATCAATTAATGTTTCATAACTGATACCTGGACTCTTATAACTTTATGCAAGATCTTCAATTAATTTTCAGTATATACATAGATAGGGAAGTCGACTCATCTAGAAAGTTGTGAAGGTCACCTCTACATTAAAGTCTCTGGTTTCGAGGTATTATGAAATACAATCTGAAAGACACTCTCAAAATACAGGGTAAATATTTAACATCCCTCAATACTATCCTCAAGTAGTCGTCCTTGGCAGAGCTTAATGGTGAAAAGTTATTAAATAGAAGTCCTGGCAATATACTGCAGGTCGTTATCTATATGTGAATCAATAATGAAGTACTTAATTAACCATCATAGACCGTGACTAAAGTCTCAGTGTTCGATTATAAGTGGAGAAATTGTGTATATAAATCTATGTTATAGAATACTTGGAATCGAATTATGTTCGATATTCTTAGTCACATCGGAAATGAGCTGATAGCATTTTACATAAACTTTCGTACCACTAGAAATTGACTGGTCCATCCAATTTAACTCTTCTTAGTAGCGATAAGATGTCCATAACTGTAAGTACGCACCGAGAAAATACACTCTTTGAAACTATTAGCAGCGTTAGTGAAACACCTTGCATTCTCTCATAATCTTTGTACAAAGAAGAATATAAGCGTTGGAAAATCTATCATTTCTAATACTTTGTAGTAATATGTGCCAAAACTTTGAATTAGTACGCGCATTGTTAAACAACCGTATGGTTTGAAAAATATTCGAGCGCAATTATTATTGATGCAGTAGTTTAAAATTACTATCTGTAAAATACAACTAAGTCGTTTAGACATGGATTGTAAACATGGGAATTCATGTTGAGAGAAAATAAGATTACCTCGGGAAATATCCTGATGAAAACTATTATGAATATCGAAAGAAAGTTTCTTACCAGACCAACGTTGTCTTAATTCCAAATGAATCAAATGTTTCTTTGTCTCCGAATCAAATTTAACCTTTAGCACACGAAAACAAACACCCGGTGTAATGAGTTCTTCTTCTTCATTCTCATATTCTGATACTTTACTAATATCAGCAATGAAAGCAAACTTCACTTCCATGATAAATAATGCATTTCCAAATTCTTCTGCTTTTTTACGATTACGACTGCAAGATGAAAAACCTTGAAACGATCCATATTCATCTTTGGTTTTGGCCATCGCTTCATACATAGCAATTTGCTCAGGCTTAAGATTAGCTCCTCGATAGAGTTCGATATTTGTTTTCATTCTGGTGTTGAATGGATCATCCCATAATAATAAACAGAATGGACCTAATGTCGGAACTTTACTTCGCCATATGTGATCATCTTCTTTGCTTCCAACTAATCTCATCGTTGCATTCAAAGTTTTATATAGAAAACTTTCTAACGAATAAAGATAAGCACAACATTGCCATACTTCTTNATCAAAGGACTGCTGTTTTGTTTTACACAAATGCGGTTCAAATCGCTCAAGAAGTGTTACCATCGACGCATCCTCACCTTCAAATGTTTAAAAGAAACCTAGAAAGAACGAAACATAAACTATAAGTTTTGCATGTTGCTTTGGACGGAACTCTGTTTCGAGACGTTTTGGATTTGTGAATGAGCTTCGCCCGCTGAATTAGTTCTACAGTAATCGAAGATATGTGAATGCATCAGCAGAAAAGATATCAGGCGGGTGTGAAAAATTTGGGAAGTCCTTTTTAGAATTGTTTCGTATCGCGAAGATCATTTTTCAGTTATATTTTCGATAGCTTCGTATACTTTGACAGAATGAAAGATAATGTTTTACTTCACAAAAGAAAATAAACATGTCAATATTCCCTTTTCTCCGTTTCTGAAAGAAAGGGTTATACAGCGTTTAAACGCTGGGCTAAAATGCTTAAAGTTTATCTGTCTGTCCTATCCAATCAAAAATCAGCATTTCTAAAATCAATGATCGATAGTTGTTAGAAAATGATTACCGGTAGGGTAATCGAGGTCGAGGAACTCGAATCCGGTGTCAGTTTCTCGAAATTCCAATAAGCTCATTAGCTAATTAAGTAATGAAAATTTTCTTCGTTTTCAAGTAAGGGTCGACCGATGGGTAATCGGGGTCGAGGATCTCGAGGGTGAATTTCGTTTTATTCCCTGAGCCTGGGCTTGTTCCTTCCTCTTTACAAAGGAGATATTTTTCTTTATCTATTCTGAAATGTTTTGTAGAAGATGGTGAGCTGAAGGTTATTCATGGACGTCATTCGTACAAAGATGGTAGCTCAAGAACTTACGCGAAAAGATCTAATGCAATGCACATAATGACGGCTCTAATTGAAAAATCCGAAAAGTCATATGAGCTTACGTTAGTATCATCTTTGCTTTTTAGGCTACATACATCATGTTCTTTCATGGGAATTTAATAGAAGTAGTTCGCAAAGTGATATACCCATCGGTGGAATTTCATCTTAGTAACTACAGACGCGTGGACTATACAAACAGTATTCTGAGCACATGCAGCGCTATGAAAGATGTTCGTTTCGAAGCAAATTATACGATAAGACTTTCTTATCTAGTTTGTTTTGGTAGTCGAATGAATAGAAGATCATGACTGTCGAAGCGACAATAAAAGAAAACCTAATCGTTCGGTTTGAAAGTTGATCAAAGGCGAAAGGAATAATAGAGACAGCATGGCAACGGCTAGCCGTGAGTGAGTGACCGAAGGGAGGTCGACGAACGACTAGACGATTGTTTTGAAAATTACTTGAAAGATGAGATTTATCACTGTCTCAACGAAAGTCAATGGTTTTTGAACGAACATAATTGATGTGTTTTCGAGCTTCGAGAATAGAGATTCCACATTATCAGCGCTTCAAATTGAACAGAGCAATAGAATATGTACTGTGAATTACACAGTCACGAAAGGTTTTGATAACTTCGATCACAGATCGACTCAGCATCAACGAGCTACTTCTTTTTATGGAAAAACTACGAAAACCGATCATGTACGTCAATGGCTAGCCGTGAGTGGCCGACCGGATGGAGGTCGACGAACGACTAGGCGTTTAAATGCTAGATTAATCCTAAAGTGTACGCTTAGAATAACCTTGCCAGGCTTCGAATAATTTTGAAAGGGATTTCACGAATGGATATTCCTCAATGAAAATATTCGACAAGGTATCATTTCGTTGACAGGAGAGAAAAGAATCGGTTTATCGCTGGACGACACAAGCGAATGTTCAAACTTTTCAAGTAGTTTACTGTATATCATCCGTCTGTGAGTGACTTAGTAAAGCATTTATGAAAATTTCCATGCGCATGATGTGAAAATAGAAAAACAGATGACAAAGGTCAATGGTTGGCCGTCTGACTAGCCGTTGAGCTATGACTTTTTCAGTCAACATAGTTAGTGCTGGAGAATTATTCACTGACAAACGGCTAATCGGCCGGATTCCTAAAAAGACTTTTGCATCCTATTCATTCTAGTGTGTGACATAGTGCCATGATCCAGTTGAGCACTAGTAGCAATCGCAGTGCACTTTTTCTCTTTCGAAGTCTCTGAATGTGTTCAGCATTCGGAAAAGTCTTTCAGAAAAGGGTCAGCCAATCCAAATCCAAAGGATGAGCGTTACTTGTTATTATAAATATTCTTTTGTTCTTAACCGAACTTGACGAGTAGAAAAAACGTTGGTGAAGTTAGCACCATATTCGAGTAAAAGCTTTTCGAATTCGTTTAGGAATGCGTTCCAACCGTTCCAATCAGCGTTCCAAGTAGAACTCAACGAGCTCTATCTAGTGGTATGCTCAGTTTTCCCATAACTCGAGTTTTGATTTTTAGGCTTCCAATAACGGCAGTACTGATCCGAAAAACTAAAGTTGGGACTGGGTCGCAGCTGAGCATACCACTAGATAGAGCTCGTTGAGTTCTACCTGGAACGCATTCCTGAGTGTATATGGGAAGCTTTTACTCGAATATGGTGCCAACATTTTATTAAAAAAATTAAATATTTTGTAATGTTTTTAACCATTGTTTGGACTATGGAAAATATAAATACACCATTAGATAGAGCTCGTCGAGTTCTACTTGGAACGCTGATTGGAACGGTTGGAACGCATTCCTAAACGAATTTGAAAAGCTTTTACTCGAATATGGTGCTAACTTCACCAACATGTAGAAAAAAAACAACTATTTACTCAGCGATTTGTTTATGTTAATGCAAAGGAATCAATGGGTGCAATGGCAAACGATAAAATACGCATATCCATCCTTGATGATCATATATATCGAATATGTGAAAAGCACATCGTAATATTGACCTACAATCAACCGATATGGAATTTTATGTTTGAGAAAAGATCATATCTTATAATAAATTTCCACATGGATGTAATCACGAACTGGTAATTCTCACATTATTTATTTCGAGATGAATTAATGGTTTTTTAATACTTATCCAAAATACAAGAAGATCTGTATACAAACTGTGATTAGATTCATCGAAACAATAGTCAGTATGTTGATTATCATCATAAAATTTCATAGGAATACATTAATCATTATTACATCTGTATTCTTTCTCGTTATATTCATTTATTCCAAGTTCCCAACAATACTTTTCATCGATTTCATTGTTCAAACAATCAACATGACCATCACATTCTAAATGAACGTAACACGTTAAACTTCTGGGTTCATAGTCAAATTTATAGTATTGATGAATATTGACATTGAGAGTGAAACCTTAGCAATGTACACTTATAAACTACGTTCATTTCATTCGATTGAAATATATTGGAAATCGAACGTTGATCATTATAAAATTGCTAACGTTCAATAAGATGGATTGATGCTGAATAACCATACAATTGTTTATTAGTAACACGTTGCTTTTAAAGATTAACAAAAGTGAGTTTTTAATCGTAACTATTCTCCGTTATATTTCATTCTAATGACCATTCTGTTAAACAAAAATATATTATTCGACGTAAATTCAAACAATCTTCAATTATACTGATCGAATATATAAACAAGTACGTCAAAGTTCATCGTTTATAGATTTCAGTTTGATTTATTCAATCGGTCGGATCGAGATCAATATAAGATGATCCAATGATTAAACAAACAGAATAAATGTTTATTTCCAAATAACATTTATGATTCCAATTTGAATCTAAACAATTTTGTAATGGTTTTCAATCAAAATCGAAATATTTTTCATTTTCATCAATAAAGTCTAGTAAGTAAAAGTTAATCACAATACAGCAGGCCCGATATGTTTTGTTTAGAAAGAAATGACACCGTATGGAATTGTCAAACTTCTTTGTAAATGGACGAATGTGTATTTCAAGATCTTGTTCGCATGTTTCCGATATCGTACTGTGATATTCAACCTATAGATGTGTAGTGAGGGTGTAAGTGTTATCAATTAACTATCACCCTCACCCTCACCCTCAAGTTCAAGAGTCAGGATATAACAAATGATTTCGTTAACACTGCAAAAAACGTCGTATTATTATTTACAAAGAAATTTCGTCAATAAAACGAGGAAAATAAGAAAAAGGAAATGAAAAATAACATAACATAATAGGTAACCAGTGCCCAAAATGCGCAATTATAGTGCTGGATGACAGTATGTTGCCAACTTTGAATCGGAGAGCTGTACACCTCGTTCTAGGGGCAAAATAATAATCACACCCTAAATAATTAACATTTTTGATGATAAAAGAAGTTTATAAACTTACTATTGTCGTCACGGAAATCGTTAGGAGAACACCGATGAGATTCAATCAGGGAATATCGCGGAAAGGTAACGTTTATGTTTTTGAAATAATTGTCCGAGTTCTTCTCTGAGTAATATCGGTCCAATTATCTAGTTTGATTGCAAGATTTACAACGATTGCTACTACAGCCGATGAAGTAACATACTTAGAAATTAACGACTGAATTTTTTTTGCTAGCAGACACAACATTCAATGTGTTTTTTTCCCCAGTCTTTTACAATGCGAGACGAGTAGGAAGTCATTATTACAGATTTCTCACTGAATAAGTATTGTTAATACTTAACTAATATTCGTTTTATCAAGAAGTTATCGACATAAACACATGGTAATTACCATATTTTGGGCTTATTTTAAACGATATTATATATCTGAATAATATAGGAAAAGAACACGAGTGAAAAATAAAAACACGCAAAGCGTCATGTGTATGCAAGCTCCGTTCGTTGTGATGGAGCATTCCATAGTACATCATAGGAATGGAAGGCAAGATCTGTAATTACCGAGAAGTGCAGAAATCGTTAATTTGATTTGATTATAAAAGTTTTGAATCCTCAATTGCTGCATTGTATTGACGTTGAGAGTTGATTAACTAGATGCGTGAGTTCGAAATCTTTTATTGAATGAACCACACAACAACAGAGAAGAGAAAATGACAGAAACGAAAGAGCACAGCAGGCATGTAACTTATATATTCATTGGACAAAAGCTGATCAAGACAAGTTTCGGCAAAAGTTGCAAGAGTTAATGGAAGAAATAAATACACAATTACAACATGTTACCACTGCATATAGCAACTTAATCATAGTTACATAGAATTTACAAGAGGAAAAAATAACTGAAAAAAAGAATATTTGATTATCTAAGATTTTTTATTTGGACTTTTTCCTTCTATTCCGTTACACTTACAAGAGTCAATAAATTTGTCTTTTACATAAGATCGATGCAAGTTGTTGAATGTGAGCGTAAACTTTGACAGGTCCGTAACTAATCTTCTTCATCTCTAAGTACTTTTTTTCACACAAGAAAATACAGATTAGTTATTCATCTCATTGCAGTACTTACCATCAGTTGTGCAATGACCATGTGATGCAATGCATTGCAACATACGAATGAATACACTTATGTTTCTTATAGTCTATTCGCCATAGAGACATGACTGCAATCGTTGATACTCATTCTTCTCCTATCAACAACATTCAACCGTTGAACAATCGAGTTGATGTTCTGATCGATGAAGATCTACGAGCAATAGAATCGATCCACTCGTATTGGTTTGTTGAAAATATTAATACATGGGCGAAAACGTATCCATTAAATACAAAATTATGGTTTAGAGTCGATGAAAAAGTTGATCAAGAAATCAAGGATAAATTTGAACAATATTTAGCCAGTGCTACAACGCCCGATAGCGCTCTTTATCAACGTTGGCAAACAGCTCATCGCGGTAAACTCGCATTGATCATTTTATTAGATCAATTTCCTCGAAATATCTATCGTGGCACAGCAAAAATGTTTGAATTCGATCGATTAGCACTACAATTGACTCTTGATATCATTGAAGATTCAAATCATGTCACAATTTACAGTTTACCAGAACGAATGTTCATCTATTTGCCATTAGTACACTCTGAGGAACTTGTTCATACGACAAAAGGTGCTGATCTCATGAACGATCTCGTCACTGAAGTTACTCAACGTGATCTACGTCGACGATATGCTGCCAATGCACGTGCAGCTCGAAATCATCAGCAAGTCATTGAATCATTCGGTCGTTATCCCCATCGAAATCAATTACTCGGTCGAAAAACAACCGCTGATGAAGAGAAATATCTGAAAGTTGCACGAAATGGATTTGTACAATCCGTTCAAATAGCACAAACGAAACCGAATTCACAAAATTGTACCGTTACACATGAAGTTCCATGCTTGATGCCACCGACAGGTCCACTGTTAACGATTCTTGTTCTTCACGGTTTTCATCAGAATTCGAACAGTTTGAAACGAAGTGCAAAAAAACTATTCAAACAACTGAAGGATGTTGCCACGTTCTATTTCGCCAATGCTCCATTACCTTACAACCCAAGTGGTGAAGTTAAAGAACAATTATTAGCGGCCTTCGGCGACGGAAACATGCCTGACGTTGGCTACCAACGACAATGGTGGAATGCATCGAAAGATAGCAAATTTTATCATCATCTAGATGTTTCCTTGCATTATATCGATCAATTATTCAAATCAGAAGGACCTTTCGATGGTGTTTTGGGTTTTGCGGTACGTATTACACTCGAGCATAGTCTACTGAAATTCTCGTCTTTTCTCTTGTGTAGCAAGGCGCATCGCTTGGTGGAATCCTATCTGGTTTACAACCGTTTGGAAACGTTTCATTCGAATTCGCCATATTGATTTCTGGATTTGCATCACGCGCGGAGAGTCACGAACAACTGATGAAATCACAAGCGATAAAAAATGTTGCATCATTACATATCTATGGAATTAATGATGTTTTGATTAATAACGACCGGTCATTGAAATTAGCAGAGGCTTTTGAAAATCCAGTGATTAAATCTCATTCGGGTGGTCATTTTACGCCAAACACCTGGCCGAACAACGACATTCGACAGTTTCTACTTGAACAACAAAATCGCCTGTCCAATAAGATCGAGATGCGGGACAGCCCTAGCACACAGCAAACTCAAGTGTTAGGCACGTTCGAAGAAAAGCTCGAAGCGACTATTTCATATCATCAGAAACAAGTTTCCACATTACCCGCAATAGAACGAAAACAGAATAAATTGCCTATTGTACCAATCGGTCTATCGGCTTCGATCGATTCTTCGAAACCTCTCGAAGAACTTATCGAACATGTTGATACTGATCTTCTCGATGATGTGATGTTACTTGTCTGGTGTCAACGAACGACATTCCACAATAGTGAATCGAAAGATGTACAAGGTGCCATCGCACCATTCTTTCGATATTGGACATTGCTTTACTTGAAAAAACCAGCGGAAGTTCTTTCGTCGTATATGGATCTCGTTCCGAAATATGGCAGTTGGTCGGATTTGAAGAATTTATATTTGTCTGTTCTTGAAATGGAAAAAGATTTTTCTGCTGAAAAGGCATCGCTGGATAACCTGAAATATGCATGTGTGAAGATATTTGGTGAACAATTGAACCGTGATTCCCGCGCAGTACTAAATCAACCCGATGAATCAGCTAATGAGCAAGAAGAACAAATGATGACTAAAAATCAACAATGGATTAGCAATTGTGCAAAAGAAGCACCACGTATTGCGAATAATCCTACAAATCCAAGTACAAGTAAGTTCGTTTTCTTCTATGACAAGCTTCGAATGACGTACACATTGTTTAGTTATGGCAAAGGAAATAGCCAAGTATATGAATCCGATCGATACTACAGGCACTAAAAGTGAAAAACAGCAACAGGCTGATAAAGGTTTTTGCTATCAAATTTATAAACGATTGATATCGTCCGTGTGCCATGTGCTGGAAAAAGCATCACCCAATTTCGTAAATGAACAAGTCCGTTCACGAAGTCGAAAAGATCGAGCTTTTCGATATACAAAAGAACAACGAGAACAACTATTGAATGCTCCGCCATCATCATACATTGTGAATCCGGAGCCGGAACCTGGTTCGTGTTGGTTGTTTAGGAAACATTTTCCTAACGATTTTCTTCGTTTTAGTTGTCCCATGTTCTTTGGAAGACTTACAACCGCTGCTAGAACATTTGGTAATGAATAAACCAGGACCGGGCGAAGACACTCAATCGATTGTCTTCTCACGTGGTACTATTATGACGGGTGGACGATTAGATTTATGTAAACAAGTTGTTGGTCCAAAAGGCATACAACCATTACTCGAGGCAATGAAATGTAGTTCCGTTGTCAATCGATTATTATTGGGTGAGTTGTCGCAAATATTTAAAAAAAAATTAAAATAGGATTGTTACTCTTTTACAGGAAATAATATCGTTGGTCGTCCAGGTGCTGAAGCAATTTCAGCATATATTCGTTATAATACAGATTCCAACATCGATACATGGTATATTGCTGGAAATAATTTCGATGGTGATTGTATGTCGTTAATATGTGATGCATTGGCAACAGATACTAAAGTCAAAGCACTTTGGCTAAAACGTAATCCGATATTATCATCTGGTGTTGTTCATATTGCTCAAATGTTAACAACAAATCACTATTTACAAACATTAGATCTACTCAACACTGGTTTACTCGATGAAGGCTGTGAAATCTTATTCAATGCTTTCAAATCCAATCGAACATTGAAGCATTTATATATTGACACAAACGGCCTGACAGTTAAAAGCGGACGTGTTATTCGTTTACATTTCGAACAACATGATAACCATTTAGAATCGTTGTATATGTCGTGCAATGCACTGGGTGACGCAGGTGCATGCGAAATCGCTCTTGGTCTTAAACATGATCAACGTTTGAAACGACTGGGTCTTGCATCGAATTGTATTGGTGATGATGGTGCACGTGCGCTAGTGGATGCTTTAATTTCACATCCATCACTCCAACAATTAAATCTCGGTTACATGAAAGCAACGATTTTACTTGGTGGATTAGATAATGTTCTTGGCGATGAAGGAGCAACGGAAATTAGCCGATTGATTCGATTGAATCATCATATTCGGTCCATTGACTTGACATTCAACGGTATTTCACAACGTGGTTTGATGCAATTGAAAGATGCGTTGAAAGAAAATCAAACTTTAACAACATTGAAAGTACTCCAATTTGCACAGGTACATAACGAGATAACAAAGGAAGAGATTAGTACGAAACTTGAACAAAACAAAATCGAATGGGGTAAACAAATACTCGGCACGGATTCGTTAACGAAAGAGGAATATTTACGAAAAGGACAACAACTTAATGATGATGTCAACTTCCCTGAACATGTCATGGAAATTATTAGTTATTATCGAACACATTAAAATTTTTTTTCTTTTTTCATTCAAAATAAACAACGCTGATGATATCAAATAAATATGTACCAAGCACAAACGTTTTGGGTATAGGTGTGTTAAAAATAAATAGAAAATTATCTTTCATAGTCTCTGATATTTTTTCTTATCATATCCACTGAGTAAATGTATATAAGATCTTATTATCTTGTGTTTAAGGTTAGTTGAAATGTTAAAAATGCATCTGTTTATCTTGCCTTTTTTGATCCTGGGATGTTCGTGTGATATGCGAGTGTTAGTTGACCAAGAGGGTGGATATAAGATTAAGATTGGTGATTTCACATGGCTGTATTCATCCCATACTGCTCTGTATGTGGATGATAAATGGTACTCATCGGATGATGATTCGCTTCCATTAACGGGTATATCGTTTGCGCAAGGTTCGGATGTAAATCTAGGGAGTTGGAATGAAACACAATTGAATTATGATCTTGTTCACGGTGGAATACATACGAAAATTGTTGGACATATACGACAGTGGCAAACTAATTCGGCAATCACATTTCACTTGGATACTGGTGATCAAATACTAAGTAATTCGATACCCTTGGATATGGACAGTGTTCGCACGGTATTTCCATCATTTCATATAAAACAACTGCATGAATATGATCAACTGGGCTTTTTTACATTTGCCGGTAAATAGAGAGAGAGAGAAAGAGTAGCATGAAGGTCGATTTTATATTTATATGTTTAAGGAGAAATGTGTGGCGATGATTCCAAACATGCTGGCTGGTGGAATTCATCTAGTCAAGTTATAACTGGAGGTATGACTGGTGGACCAGTTGTTCTTTTTGATCTTACTCAACATGGAGAAAATGACATGATTGTTCTTTCACCCTTTTCTCGATTTATGGCAACATCATTGAGTCAAACAGATAGTATCCTCGAATACGGGGTTATGGGTTCAATGCTGACTATTCCAGCTAACTATAATCATTCGATGATCATCTTCTATTCTCCGAATGGTATTAACGAAGGCGTCCGCGAATGGGGCACAATGATGCGAAAGGCACATAATCGAACCACTGAACATCGTCTCAACGATCTAACTATTAACTATTTGGGTTATTATACAGATAATGGCGGTTATTATTACTACAATACGGAAAAGGGACTCAATTATGAACAAACAATAATCGATGTTTATCAGCAAATTCATCTACCGTTTCATTATCTACAATTGGATTCATGGTGGTATTACAAAGGTATTGGTGGTGGTGTAACTCAGTATACACCGATGCCAACGATATTCCCTGATGGTCTACAAGCACTTCATCGTCGAGTAGAAAACATACCATTCGCGGCACATAATCGATATTGGGCATTTGATACAGTTTATAAGCAAAATTATTCGTTCGCTCTTGATGAAGTTCATGGCACCGCGTTACCAATTGGAAATGATTCATTCTGGTTTGACTTATTTACTCAAACACACGATTGGGGTTTGATTCTTTATGAACAAGATTGGCTTGATCATCAAACGTATAATTTTACCCCATTATTCACGGATATTCATCTCGGACATCAATGGTTAATATCGATGGGTGACGCAGCCGAAAAAGTCGGAATGAATATTCAATACTGTATGAGTTTACCGCGACATATTTTAACCGCGCTCGAAGCTCAACGTGTAACACATGCACGAGTGTCGACGGATTATGCATTTCATCTGGAACAGACTCGAAATGCACAACAATGGGCTATCGGAATATCTAGTATGTTTGCTGATGCGGTTGGTTTAGCACCATTTAAAGATGTTCTATGGTCAACAAAAGATCAGCCAGGTGCGCCCTATCCACATTCACCGCAAGAAGTCCTTCCTGACCGAGAAATACTCATCTCCACGCTCTCTACAGGACCTGTCGGACCTGGCGATGCTATTAATTATACAAACAGTTCGCGTATCATGAAATGTTGTCGACAAGATGG